GTTAAAGGTCCTCAAATTATGTTCAAAATTTTGTAGTTTCCGAAAAATTCCGAAGGAGCTTTTTCACTGTCTGCTATTAATGCTTTTATTTCACCTACAGCCTCGTGTAATTTGACATCGCCAATGAATCGAGGTACTATTCCCGAGGAAATAATAACGCATCTTATTATATTACTCGTAATAAACTGTCCGCTTTTTCGTCTAGACTCTTGAAAACGACCTCTTTTTTAATGTTTCTGCTGTAAATATGCATTTCTTGGTTACCATGTTACTACTAGAGAGCCTGAAGGCGCCCGCCTATCTTTCCTTCAATAGAACTGAACCAATCCGAATTGACGGATATGCTGGCTTATTAATGCGCATTTTATGGTCTTGAAAAGCTCATAATCAGAAACCTTTTGAAGTCGGCGCATACCATTTCTTCATGGCGTAAGGTGCAGGTGTAATTTGCTAAGAAGTGAGCACAGAGTAAACTGGTATGTTACCGATAAACACAGAGCACACCACTATGGCCATTTCTGCTTCATTGGGCGTCATCAGGTGGTGGTAGCCCATCTCCAGTGCAGCAACGGAAATTGCCGCCACGCCCGAGTTTCGAACTCGCGTCTCTCCTGGCAGAGGCGAACGCTCTAACCCTTGAGCCACGGATCCGCCGTGTTGTCGGTTTGTGATCAGGACTACATAGTAGTGGGTAACTGTACACCGATCTGTTTCAAAATGTACCCATCCTTGTTGATGCATTGTTCACGAGCTAATTGAACCCCAATAGTTAAGTTACTCGCTAAATTTTAATAACAATGGTATGCGCAGTAACAGAGTAAACGCTTTGCAGGTGGTCAGAAAGAATCTCCTCTTGATAGTGTGGGAGCCTGTCGCGCTGACACACACTGTCTTTGTTCGCCAAACCGCACAAGCTCACTGTCTACTCGCGCCTGTTAGATGCCCACGCGCTTTCTCTGACAACCGCTGCGAGAGGCCCGCGATCTCCTGCTGGTTATATGCTCCCTCTGTTTGCTCGCCGCTCTATGCGCACGTCAGTTCCAGCCAATTAATGCGTGCCTGTCCACCTTGCTGGCTGCACTGCCCACTTAAATCGGTCGACAGTCAAGACTTCACACCAGCGAACACAACGTTGCGGACACATCTGGTGAGCACGTACAGTTGGCTTTGGCGCAAAACAATGCCATTGTATCGTCCACTTTCCGGCAGTAACTTTCCGTCCACCAACACTGTCTTGCCTGTCTTGAACCTTTTGTTTAGAAGAAGAGGATGCGATCACTGGAGCAAGAGTTTTATTTTCCTGACGTTTCGGATTTCGTCGGGAATCCTTAATCATAGGTCATAGTCTAAGTCATGCGCAGATAGGGTTGAAACATGCACAGGTTGTATAGTGT